CGTTGCCCGGCCCCAGAGGCGGCGCGAGGCCCCCGTGCAGGATGGGGCCCGATCAGGCCCGCCCAGGGGCGCGTCGCCATGGGCTGAGGCGCAGGGTCGTTGTCATCGGAGGCAAAATCATCCCTGCGAATCTGACCGTCCATCTCTCGAGCCAGACCGGATAAGATGCAGATGAAGCGCGAGACCCCGGTCACTCGCACACCGACTGTTCATCAAGAAGCCTGACGAGCGGACGCCCGGTAGAGGCACAGGGACACCATCTTTCCAACGCAGGGGCGGCCGAAGACAACGCGCCCGCGCGCGGTCTGCGGAGCTGCATTCCGCACATGATATATATATATATATATATATATATATATAATATATGTATATATATGGAAGGCCACGGGCGCACGGGACACGCAGCAACGCGGAGGTATGGGCGCGCCGCTCATGACGGGCACTAACTCGACAACTAATACATGCACCCAGCTACCCAATGAAGGAGATTGACAGTCCTGCCTGCGGCTGTGCATTTGGTGCGCGGCAACACGCGCGTGCTTTTCTGGTCCCTGCACTGTTTCAGCTAGCGTCTGACGATGCCATTGTTCCCCATCAGACAATTTCTGCAGGCGTGCTCGCGGAACAGAATGGTCATGGCGACGCGCCTGTTGTCATCCTGGCACTTGCTGTCTGTCAACGCCTGAAGCTTCTTAGGAGGAGTCTTCTTCTGAACGAGCGAGGCCAATTCCTGGAGCAAGCTGGCCACCAATTGTTTCTTCTGGCCCATGTTTGCGTCGACGCCAGCGCCTGCAGGGCCCGGTCCGCCTGGCGATACCGACGCGGACGCAGACAACCGGGCAACCTTTTGCAGGAGGCGGGGTGCCACTTGACGAGGCAAGGGGCGTGTCGTCCCGGCGCTTCGAGCTCGAGCCGAACGCCAGCGCTGCTTCGGCCAGGATGATGTACTGGGCGAAATCACGAAGCAACGCCTCGTGCTCCAGCGCGGAGAACGCGCTCGCCTTCGTGGCGCGCCGCTTGTACTGCTTGATGGTTTGGTAAATGAGATCCATGAGAGCGGCCTTCTGCGCTGCTGCTTTTTCTGGCCCGTTCTTCTTGGCCGACTGCACGACAGTGAAGCGACGCTCGATCATATTGACCAGCACAAGAAGCGAACGGGCCAAGGCCTTGACGCTCTCCAATGCAGGATCTGCTTTTTCCAGGAGGACATTTTTCAGCTTGTCCCGGGAGCCGCCGCGAGGGATCACACACAATTTCTTCGAAGACGCCTTAGCTGCAGACCTGGATGCAGAGGCGCGCTTGAACTCTTGCAGCTCCAGGTCCGCCGCATTGCTCGCGGACACGGCCACGAAGCAAGCGAGAATGGGATTGTGCTCGACTGCCTGCAGCGACCACGACAGCTGGCCTGAGTCCACCGCGAGGTCCCGCCACGCGGCTCCCCGCTCCGTCACCGGCGGCCGGGCCCTGCAGGGGAAATGCTCGTCGGCGCGCCGATCGTGCTCGGCTTGGGCCAGCTTTGCGAAGATGAGAATTTTTGTCCTGCAGGGCGGCGAGCTCGGCGCGAGCAGCCATAAACGCCACGGCCGAAGAAGAACCAACTGCAATTGCCAAGCTGCCGGGCTGCCCCAGCTCGAAGGCGTGCCGGATTTCCGCCAAGATCGCTGCGTGAATGGCTCCGCCAAGCGCCACGGCCGCGGCGATAGCAGCCTGCACAGCGTCTGCCATGGCAACGCCGGACAACAGGTGACAGCTCGGGGCTAAAACGGAAGATCCACGGAAGATGTTGTAATGTGATGCTGAAATAGCTGCAGCCGGCGAGAGACAATGCCTAACCTCGACGGCGTGGATGGATCAACGGATCGACCCACGACGGAAAGCATCACAAGGCTTTTTCATCACGCTTGCGTTTGCGCCGGTTCGGGATCCAGCTCTGAAGTAGCAAGTAAGGTAGATCAATCTTGAGGCCGCGGTGAAATGCAGAACCTGAGTGAAACCTGACAAAACTGAGCCGGCAGACCAGGAACGAACGCGATGCCAACGTTCGAGAAAATGTAGGCGAAACAATGGCGCACCCGAATCTTCAGGGCACATGAGAACAACGTGGATTGGATCTGGTACTTGCAGCGCTGCACTGAGAGAAAGGAGGAGGAGGAGGAGGAGGATGAGTGGACGAGTAGAAGCAAGGAGCGTTGTTGGGGAAGGATTGCGGGGCCACGAGGGGCGAGGGGGTCGAGGAGGATATAAAGGAGGGGGAGAAGGAGGAGGAAGAGGAGGCGCTGGAAGAGGAAGTGAAGAACCGAGGATGATCGAGCGAGGAACTCCGCAGCCGCCAATCGCTTGGGCCACGCGGCAGCACCTGTTTTTGGATGGTGTATAACATCATCGCGTAAATTTCTTTGGAGGACGTACTGTAGCACAGCGCGTCGGTATTTGTTTGACGGTGTGCTGCAGCATCTAACGTTTTGTCATACTCATGTCGCTTCTCCTCCTCTTTTCTTCCTTTCCTTTCCCTTTGCTACTCGGCTACTCCCGACAGGGGAGGCGAGCACGCCGTCGATGCAAAGATAACGCCTCGCGATATGGATATGCGTATGTTTACGTATATGTGTAGGCATATGTCTGTGTCAATGGATATGTATATGCATGCGTGTAAGTCTATGTGAATACATGTGTATGAAGATGAGTGTGTATACATACATATATATATATATACAGAGACATTCCAAGACAAAGAAGACAATGGCACAGCATGATGGACAAACAAGGACACATGAAGACACACGAGAAACACATATACATTCAAGACACTACTTTGCGCTACTACCTTCCGCCTTCCGCGTCGTCTGGGCGGACAACATGGAAGAAGGAGGTCGAGGGCCCGCCTTCACAAAGGCGCCCAGGGGCACACGAGTAAATAGACACACGGCCCAAGATTCACATAATTATTGTATTTGCTCTGGGTGTTCAGATTTCCCCCCTTCACTGCCCATATTGCCCGACGAGGTTCACCGGAATTTGCATTTTTCTGTGCCAGTGTCCGTTCCCCCCCTCTGATTTCGGCCGTGGTGACGAAGACGCCCAGAACCCACCCCCAAGCCTTCCAAAACGATGGCGGCATCGTCGTCGCGCCGTTCACCGAAGCGGGGTCAGCTACAGTAAGGGCTCGACCGAAATAAACCTTCCACAAGAAACCCAACCCTGGAACCCCGGGACGTCATTTGATTGTTGGTGTGGGCACGCCACGCCTTCCATAGCAAAATCATCGGAATCCAAGAAACACAGGGAACCCTGGAGGCAACCAGGGTGTTTCTTGGCATGGGTTTTCTCTGTAGATGTTCCCCTCCCTGTATAGTGAGGGCGCGGACGCCGCAGCCAACCCTCGCAGCGCTGGAGGTGCCTCCGCCCACCCCTCCGCGGCTCCCAAGGCTCCCTCGGGTCGACAAATCGACGGTCGTTCGCGACGGCGGAGGCGGACGACGACGACGACGACGACGACGAAGACGACGATGACGATGACGACGACGCGGAGGTCCCCACAATGACAACGACGACCTCCGCAGGCCTTCAGGGTCCCGGACACCGCCGTGTCGGGCTGGGGACATTGTTGGCTCCAACGTGGTATCTATGCGCGTCTGGCTGAGGCCAGGAGGGCCCATGCACTGTCCTAAGACTCGCCATCGCTCGGACGTCCATTCCCCGTGTATTTTTTCGACTTCGTGCGTGTCTTTTTTTGCCAGATGGTCTGGGATGCTCCTCGACGGTCCTCGCCGAGAAAAAAAGCACACGTCCGAGCGATGCCAAGAAGAGCCCAGGGCGGCCCTGCTCAAGCATGGTGGTGGTGTCTGGGTGCCCACGGGGACTTCTGAAGGCCCGACGACGGCGTCGTCAGCGGCGGCCGAGGGGGGTTCCTCGGCAACAGCGGCGACGGCGACGGCGGCAGCGTCGACGCACAGCGGCAGCGGTAGCGACAGCGACGGCGGCGGCGGCGGCGACAATGGCGGCGGCGGCGGCGAGGAGCGGGAGAGAGCATACAAACCATGTGTGCATAAACTGTCTCGGTGCCCCTTCGTTTAGATCCGTTCCTGGATGGCTTGGTCCGAAGATCATCGCCCTGTTCACCGACGCCTCGCCCATCGTTGCCAGGGGGTTGCAGAGCACATGCTGTCGCTTGGGCTGGGGAGGCGGGGTCGGGCGAAGGATGTTTCAGCTTCTGGGCCCTAACAACTTTCCAATTTTGTTCCGCTGCTGCGTCGTGTTGCAGACCCTATAAACTTCACTTGGCCGATGTATCGCGATGCGTTTTTGCTATGTACTGGGAGGTCTGACCATGTCGGGCCCCTGTCTGGAGGGCCCCCGGGGCGGTTCCCGGTCGGGCCTCCTGCGGGAGCGACGCCCTGGGAAACAGGAGCGGAAGGGTCCGTGCGGCCGTCGCCCGCGGGACTTCCGGCCGCGCTCCACCCCGTGAGAGCGCGGGCGGAAGACCCGCTGCGCGGGCGGAGCACCGGGCCACGCCCGGGGCATCCAGGCAGCCAGTATAGCGAGGACGCGCGATAAGGACGCAGAGGGCCTCGGAAGGCCGCCTTGGAAGGCCACGTCGACGCTCTTCGAGCGGGGCGCGGCCAACGGAAGTGGCCAAGGATGGGCCGAGGAGGCAAGGATGCAAAAGGTACCCCTGTGGGACGGCTGCCCATCCTTCCTGTCCGGGTTGGGTGTACGGAACGAACCAGGGAGGGGCAGGGCGAAAGCTCCTTTCCCCCTCCAGATGTTTACCTGTGCTTGTGCGTGTGTGTGTGTAGGTGTGTGTGTGTGTGTTCTGCCCGGAGTGGCGGCAACGGCAACGGCAACGGCGACGGCGTGGGCGACGGCGGGGATGGCGGCAACGGCAACGGCGGCGGCGTCGGCGACGGCGGGGATGGCGGCGGCGACGGCTCCTCGACAGCGTCTGCGGCGACGGCGGCGACAGCGGCGGCGGCGGCGGCGACGGGGGCAAGCCCCGGGACCTGAGGCCTCTTCGGGGGACAGCCACTTGAGCGCCTGGCCGTCGACGAGGCCCCCGAGGCGGGGCTCGCGGACGCGGGGCGTCTGGCGCGCGCGGGTGAAGCGCGCGAGCAACCCCCGCTCGCACGGGAGGAGGAGGGGAAGAGGAGGAGGAGGACGAAAAGGAGGAAAAGGAGAAGGAGGACGAAGGAGGAGGAGGAGAAGGAGGAGTAGGATGAGAAGAAGAAAGAGGATAACGAGAAGAGAAGCGGCACAAGGAGGAGGATGACGAGAGAAACGAGAAGAGGAACGGGAGAAAAAAAAAGGAAAAGGAGATGGAAGAGGAGGTGGGGGGAGGGCGAGGAGGAAAAGGATGAGGAGGCGAACGAGAAGAGGCGCGGGAGAGGGAAGATGAGGAGAAGGATGAGTTTCTCTCTCTCTCTCTCTCTCACACTTCCCATTCAGGCCAAATCCAAGCAGCTGCGTGTGAAAAGGAGGCCCTGGGTTGGGGTCTTAAGACTTAGCTCAAAACCCCTCTCTCGTCAGTTCCTGCGGCTTGTCAGCAGGGCTGATGCGCACAGTCGGGCGCCAGCACGGGGGCGCGGCCAGGGCGACAGCCCGCCTCAGTCGAGGTCGCGGGAGGGTGCCAGCATCGCGGTGGTGGCCCTCCAGCGGGCGGAGAAAATATGAAGTGCTGCTCGGAGTAGGCGGTGATACCCCTCCAGCAGCTGGTGAGAAGGCAATAGATATCAAAGCTCAGCGAATGTACAACGACGAGGCTGCGCTCTGACTCCAGTAAAAAAGACCCCGAGGGGCCCACAGAACTCCGCAGCCGAGGGCCTCGGCCGTTAGGCCTCGGCCAGGCGAGCGGTCCCTGGAGCCCGAAAGGAGACACACGGCGGCAAAGGGACGTGTCGACGCGGGGGCAAAAGCCGATCAGCGCTCAGCTCAAAAAAATAGAAGACTGCCTTCCAAAGATAACTCATCAAGACTGCATTCCAAAAGATACTGCATTCCAAAGATAGACATGCATTCCATAGAAACTGCATTCCAAGATACTGCATTTCAAAGATACTGCATTCCAAAAATACTCTGCATTCCAAAGAGATTGGCATTCCGTAGGTACTGCCTTCCAAATACTGCATTCCAAAGAGAACCCATCAAGACTGCATTCCAAAAGATACTGCATTCCACAGATAAATAGAAGCTGCATTCCAAGATACTGCATTTCAGAGATTACATTCCACAGATACTGCTTTCCACATATGCTGCATTCCAAAAGATACTGCATTCCAAAGAGATCGGCATTCCGTAAATGCTGCATTCCACGATACTGCATTCCAAGAAACACCATCTGCGCCAAAGACACGTCGCCCTAGCTGCCTTTAGCACCTCCTCCACGGCCAAGCTGTCGGACTAGATTGCCCCTCGGGGCGCGGCCGCTCATGATCTGGCCTCCCATGCTGCGCATCGTCTCGGATATGATCGTCTCGACTGGCGTGCGGTATCCTCGTATTTGCAGGTGTGATGTTGGCATCTCGGTGGGCAGCAGCTGGTGTAGGTCGTCCTCTGGCAGTCCGATGGCTTCCATCATCTTGTCGTGGTCCATCGGGCCCCGTGGTAACACGAGCTCTCCTCGGCAGCTGAACATAATGCGGACCTTGGGTTCTTCCCCTGGTTTCTGGGAACACGGTGGCATCATCATTTCCTTCACCCAAGTCCGTGCGTTGTCGGGCCCCCCCGCTTTCAGCATCTCGTACAAGCGCTGCAGCCCCGCGAGCATTGATTGCATCCTCGGCGAGGTGTCCTTGTGCTCGAAGTTGAGCAAAGCGTTCAGAGCCCCTGAAAGGCATTGGCACCCTGGGGGGCCGAGGTCGGCCTCTGGGTCCTCCTTCCGTCGCTTGAGGTACTGCTGGAAGCAGTCTTGGATCTTCACTGGAAGATCGGACTTTTTGTTGATCATGACGGTGATGTGCGACTCGTTGTCCAACGTTCTGACTCTGCCCTCGAGCTGGACGAGAAGACTCTGCATGATCCCGAGCGTGTGCTCCATGCCCTCGTCCTGATCATCTTCCTCCACTGCATCGGCTTTCCCTTTTTTCTCGGGCGGCCCTGCGGTGTGAAGAGACCCGCGAGGGCGCGGTGCTGCTAGCCAGTTCTTCGCCCCCATCACGCGTAGGCTGCACTTCGCGAATATGAAAGGATGGAAGCAAGTGTGGCACGATGTGTTCTCTGGCGTGCTTGAAATACTCAGCTGCGGTCTCGAAGGAAGCGAAGCATACGACGCGCTCCAGTTTCGGCTCGATAAGAGGCGAGGCGAAGCGAGCACGACCTTTCGGGCAATAGTTTCTTCTGATACTGCTTGCAATGTGGTGCCTTGCTGTGTCGGTGTCTCGAAACGTCGAATCGTATAGAACGCAGTAGTTCGTGTTCGTGACGACGTTTGCTATGTTAGCTCGACCGTGCGAACCCCATATTGCCGATGCTATGCGTGCAAATAACTGTTTTTTGACGGCCAGAGCGAGTTGCATGCGCTCCCGTCAATTCCACACTTCCAAGCAACGGTGCTCTCCATCAGCTGCCAAAGCGGCTGCTGCACGAGCCTCTGTATCTCGTAGGAGGAAGCGCGCTCTGAACTCTCCGACATCTATGCTGCAAGAGTCGGTCGGCTCCTGGAACAAAAACTCGAAAGGGGTCTGCATCGAATACAGTACTGCGCCAGCCTCTATCTCTTGCAAGCTGTCTAAATCGTCCTGCGCCTGACGCGCCCAAGGATTGGCTGAGTCGGCCACGCGGCCGTCTTTGTTGAAAATCTGATCGTCGAACCTCGTATTGCCGAAAACCGTTGCCAAATACTGTGCGTTATCCTTTTTTCGTGAAACCATCTCTTGTAACCATTTTCGCCTCCGTATGCGGAGCTCGAGAAAAAGAGGTGCAAGCTTAAACCGCCTCAGGACTTCATGATGGGGTAGCGCACGCTCGTGCTGTGCTTGTGTGTCCCAAACCGAAGTGCCAGATAAAATCGCCCTGCATTTCTTGATGATGAAACCCTGCAGATGCCTGAGATCATTTTCTCGAAGGGGTCCAGGACCGTGGACGACAACCTCCATGCCCGACAAAGCAGTATTCACCAAGAGTCCCTTGACGAGTGTACGCTCTATAGACAACGGTGAGTCAGAATACCAAAACCTGCCCATGCTGTGAAACGCCGCTTTAACTGCATTCAATCTCTTGTGCAGCTCGGGGCCTGGGGTGCAAGTCGCGGCCTGTAGGCCGCCCAAATAGCGGCAATGATGAAGAGTGCGGCCAGCGACTCCCCGAACTTCCCCGCTGCAAAGCCTACGCTGTAACTGGTGGGCCCCGCGGCCTCTGAGGTAGCAGATATTCTCCTGCTCGCTGATGTTCTGCCCTGCTCCCACCCTCCCAAGCCCCTCGTCCAATGCTTGATTTTCCAACATACTCCCACGTGAGATAGTCTCCCCCATGTTGCCCTCCCCCTCCTCCAGAACTTTGTTAGCTATATCGTCTGCATATCCTGTCATGGCGAACTGCCCCATCCACTCAGGATCCCACGGGAGGGCAGCTTCTAAGAAAGGGAACCAGTGCTTGACGACCGTAAGGTCCGCGAAACAGTCCAGCACTGGCTCTGAGTACGTGCGGCAGAAAAGCTGCGTGGCTCCAGTGTCTCCTGGGAACAGACCACTCTTGCCCTGCTGCCAGAAGGACCCCGCCTCATCTTCTAGTAGAAAGGCGTTGTTTACAATCCGATCTCTAATGAATGAACGGTCCTCTGGCGCGTAGCAGGAGTCGATACACTCTAAAATGGCCGAGTGCCGTACTGTGTAATACGCGTTCGTGGCGTCATGACATCGCTGTAGATGCGAAATACCTGCTGCCTGCATTCTGTAGCTGCCTGCCATCTGCGCACCCATTGCCGTCTCCCTCCTCCTCCTCCTCAGGCCTCCGTGAATCCAGTTGGGAGGGTCCCATTGGGGGTCCTTCCTTGCTAGTACAGCACCATGAAACGCGCGACCAAGCGCGCACATGACCATGATGATGCGCTCCCCTTCTGTGTCTAACTTGCTGTTGTGCTTGGGTATGCGTGCCGCCTGCGCGCTGTGCCATGAAACTGGGTGTCTATCATGTTATCGACATGCTCGCAGCAGGCCCAGCAACATATCTCGCGTCTGGGTAATCTTCGGAAACTCGTCATCATAACCTACTCCATGTCGCTGGGCCGGCTTGCGATCGTTCGTCCACTTCGGGTGCAGCACGAGGCGCAGACATTCTGGAGGAGTGCTCCACTGGGGCCAAGTGCGCCAGAAACGTAGCTTCCAAACACTTCTAGACAAAAGGTTCCAATCTTCTGCTGCTTTGTACAACGCTTCAGTCGAGTCCATGAGCGGGCGGTCCTCGGCTCGCACCTCTTGTGGCACCTCCTCAGGCGTCTTCACAACAGCCGAGCAACCTCCGAGCAGGGGAGCCAACTGCATCTTGTGAGCCCAGCTAGCGGCACAAGCCGCCGATCCAGGCACTGCTGCGAACCTACGCTGGCGGGGTCCCCTTTGTCGGCTTGCTATTCGTCTTGCAGTTTTTGCACAAGGTAATTGTTTTGCGATTTTGCTGCGTGTCATATTTCTTGGCATCTACGTTGCTGAATATCATGCCAATGCTGTTGACTATGCTCACGAATGCGCTTGCTCACTTGCTTGATCTTCTCAGTATGCTCTGCGTCATCTCGTTGAGCCCCTCGGAGCTCCCTACGCTCTGCTAGTAGCCTCTTGAGGTCCTCTAGGTGCTCCTTGTGGCTCTCGGTGTATAACGGGGACTCGTAGAGGATCTCTTAGGTGGCCTAGTTGAGGACTTCCATGATGATAGAGTTCATGCGCTCCAGATCTCCCGAGACCCCAGCCTCGCCAAACTCCTGCATCTTGCTGGCCGCGAGTCTCTCCATGGCCTCCAGAACCTCAGCTCGTTTGTGCCCCGTCTGCACACACTGATATAATGCTTCACGATTGGGACGTAGTTGTCTGCGAGGGGCCGCAGTCGAAGAGAGCTGCGCGTGAAATGCAACAACGACTGGCTTGTGATCGCGCTGTTCGCGA